TCTAGATACTCCAGTTTATTCGCCCGGCACGCTCACCGTCTTTCTTCTTTTTTCGCACGCTCGCTTTCGAAATCGTCAGTACTCTCACCGCGACTCAAAACCTGATCGACTGACTCCCTTTCGGCCCGCTTACCGCGTACCCCTCGCTCCCCTTCCTCTCTTACTCCGAAATTCCGCACCGTCACCTGCGATTGCCGCTCTATCTAGAGCACTAATTGGTCTTACTCAAATCGCTAGATGGTGCGACCGGCCGGATTTCCGTCAGGCGCTTACACATTGAATGAGAAAAAGAAAATTAGCTTAGATTCTAATCTAGACGTAGAAATATATAACAAACTTGGAACCTCTCGTAGTATCATTTAAAATTGCTTTCTGTTGATCTTTATTAAAGACTTCATTGATTATTATAGTATTTTTCTCGATTTTCTTTTCTAAGTCATTAACTCTATCTTTTAGAACATTTATTTCCTTCTCAGTCATTTTTAATTTTTCTTCTAACGCTTTAAACTTTTTTCGATTAGTGTCTGCTGGATTAGGGAAACTCTCTGTAGACAATTTTTGATTTGCAGTAAACTCTGGTGATATCTCTACATCTGGATTAGAATCTAATCTGTAATTTTTTTTTTCAAGTAATATCTTCTTCAATGTATTTTATATCAACGGGTTTTTTCATTACAACACAATGTGCAGTATGCATATATTTTTTGCTTCTATTTTTAACGTATGAATCTTCTGACTGAATTTCTGCGAAAGGTTTCCCTTTTGCAGATTTATTACAATTGCAAAAAAAACTCGGTATGGCATCTTTCCTTATAAATTTCTTTTTGCCCACTACATATAATGCGGATGGATGGAAATGAACCTAAAGTAAGAGGCACAAGTATATTAAAGAAAAATATGTGTCTCACGATAAACTACTATAGCATAAAAATTTGTATGTACACTTCACTAACCTCACACAATACAGCCGATTTTATTGGCTTCCAATCGGGAACTCCACATGCATCAATCCATTTTTTTTCCAAGTTTGGATCTTGAGTAAACTTTGTCATGCAATAACCTTTGTTATTTGAGTTTGTGCATCTCGGAGCACAGCAACTGCTGGGCATTTTAAAAATGTTGAAAATACAGAAGTCTGAAATGTAAATGCTTAGTATAATTTTATATATACATTTTATGAAGAAATATATACTTCCAAAGTTAATAATGTATCACTTACGGAGACCTGATTGTTGCAATGACAGCTGCATTTGTAGATCGCTTTAACCTCTAATCAATACTTTCGTTTCGATCCATATGTATATATAGCTACTTTATGGAACTAGATTACCTCAACCAATCAGAAAACACCGGGTCACGTGACAAGTTTGCCACTCTCTCCCTGTGAGGCTCTCTAGTGCAGAGAGAAAGAAGACGCTTCCACAGAACTGCGTTTGTGTAACCTCCACGTACACCGAACACTTCCTAGGTCACGGAATGAACCGAACCAGCACGGAATTAGCCGACGTCAGGGTAGTAGTTCTACGCCTATGGTGCTCCCCCTTCACTGCAATTATCAACGTCCCCTCGTAAAAGGCTCCGTCCATGTATTCTTAGGTCCATGAGAGGGACTCTACTCTCTGGGTGCGTTCAGGGAAACGCTATTCGCGCTATTTAGTGCTAAAAGCTGTTCATTGGACTAAAAGATAGCGCTAATGGACGCAGTCGTGACGTCACTAATGGTAGTGTTTACGTCATAACTTCGTGCTACAGACGCTATTCCTTCCGAGGTAGTGTATTGCTTGCGTAACTTGCGTTAGCGTTTGCATGCTGTGAACGCCACGAATAGCGCGCTATGTTTCGAATTGTTTATCGTTTGACGATTTTAATTTAAAATAGACAAATAGGTTAAACATAAAGCTGTGAAATGCTCAAAATGAGGAAAAATACGAGCTACAATTATCACCAAACAGTGCTTTTAAAGCATTGCTTTTATATTTACAAATGTGTTTGATGTTATTTAAAATATACTAAACTCCATAAAAATACTCCACAAAATTAAAGGATCATCTTCTATCCTCTAAAATATAAGCAAATATAAATATAGGCAAATTTTAAAATAGAGTAACTTCGTCAAAAATGATCGTAATAAAGTATTTTACAGCTTGAAGCTTCCTCAACTTTTCAAGTTGATATTTTATAGAAAATTGATTTTTTTCGGAATCGCATAAATACAAATCGCAAATTTTTTTAAAACTTTGCAAAGTTCCATTGCATGAAATAAATATTGCACACAAACGCGGTGTACAGTTTTTAAAAGAATAAATAAATCTTTTTCTTTAATTTGTTTTTTTGTTGAACGCTTAACAAAATTTTTTTCACCGAATTATTCAACATTAAAACAAAAATGATCTTTTTCACTTCGATAGATATATGCTGCAGTTAAATAACTCGATGAAAAAAAATCGTACAACGCTCAATAAAAAAGCCAATAAAAGGAAAAGATTCATTCTTTTAAAAGCTGTACACCGCAATATTTGTGTGCAATATTTATTTCACCCTATGAAACTTTGCAAGGTTCGCAAAAAATTTTGCGATTTGTCATATCTTCATTTATATTTATGCGATTAAGAAAAAAATTAATTTTCTAAAGCATTAACTTGAAAAATGGAGACTTTAAGCTGTAAAATGCTGTTTGAAAAATCTTATTTCGATTATTTTTGATGAAGTTACTCTATAGCTATCTTAACTTATTTTTAAGGGATTGAAGAAGTGATCCTTTAATTTTGTGGCGTAGTGTAGTATGAACATATATTTTAAATTATTCGATATATATGAATCACGTCTGTATTGATCTGTGTTCGGGCACATGATCTTTTAATATACAGGAGCTTATAAGTCATGTGTATAATCGTAAAACGATGCTGATCACAAAAATGCGAATAATGCTACGCTAATGCTGATACTGTTCATGATGCTTGCAATCGCTACGACACTATTGACTCCATGAACAGTGTTGGTAGCGTTTGCGTCATTAGCGCTAATAGTGTTTCCCTGAACGCACCCTCTGGCAGAGAGAAGCATGAGAGCGGCCATCCCCACAGTATAACCACAGTATAACCAGTAGGTCCACTTCGTGTCGGCACCTTTGATCTCCTTTTCCGGATCACGTGAACATCCACCATGTTAAATCCAGGACCGAATTGAGAAAAGTGCCTCGCAAGTAATAAAACAGATAAGTAATGATATAGATTCGATCAGTAAATCGATAAATTCAATGTGTGAATTGAATAAAACGTTTTATTAATAACAATTATTTATAAGAGTGATCACTAAAGAAAATTTCTGATGTAATTGCTTATAAATTGTCTGCACATACGTATAATGTACACCCACGGTCATCGATTCTGTCCCTCGGAAATTTTCACAAACTCTGATGTGATCACTTTTCTACATTAATGCTTATAGTCCATGCACGATTTCGTTTCGTTAATCGTGCATGGATTATGAGCATTAATGTAGAAAAGTGATCACTTCAGAGTTTGTGAAAATTTCCGAGGGACAGAATCGATGACCGTGGGTGTACGTTCCTATCGTCTTGCATTTCATTGGATTCAATCCAAAACAAAAGTTGCGCAGCGATATCTGCGCGAAGGCTCAGTTTTTCGCTGAGTGGACCTACTGGTGGTATACTGTGGTATAACCAGTAGGTCCACTTTGTGTCGGCGCCTTTTCCTGATCTCCTTTTCCGGATCACGTGAGCATCCACTATGTTAAATCCAAGACTGAATTGAGAAAAGTGCCTCACAAGTAATAAAACAGATAAGTAATAATATATATGGATTCGATACAGTAAATCAATAAATTCAATATGTGAATCGAATAAAACGTTTTATTAGTAATAATTATTCGTAGGAGTGATTACTAAAGAAAATTTTTGATGTAATTGCTCATAAATTGTCTGCACATATGTACGTTCCTATCGTCTTGCATTTCATTGGATCCAACCCAAAACAAAAGTTGCGCGGTGATACCTGCGCAAAGACTCAGTTTTTCGACCCTCGTGAAGTGTATACACTCCATGCCAATGCGCATGCGCGCTTAATAAAAGCTCTTAGATTTTGGACAAAAACATTGTTTTTTCTATTTAAACAAAAATGCAAAGGTGCATTTTATGAAATTGATTTATTCGAATGGAGCAAACCGGGAGCATTATTTTGAGGTCTTATTTATTGCAAAATACCACTATGGCAAAAAGTTATGACGTTTTTCGACGAAAAGTCCCTAGATTTATCACAAGAACGTTTCTTTTAATTTACAAAAGAAACTATTAAAAACCAATTGATAACATTTATTGCTCCGAACGGAGCAAATTTGGAGCAAAATTTTGAGACCTCATTTGTTCAAAAACTGAGTCGACAAGGCACACAGGGGATA